ATGCAATCGCGCGTTTGTATTGATGCAGTCGCGCGTTTGCATCGATGTAATCGCCTAAAAATCGCAAGTGTAGCGATGCAATCGTGCGTTTGAACCGATGCAATCGCCTATAAATTGCAAGTGTAGCGATACAATGGCGCGTTTCTATTGATGCAGTCGCGCGTTTGCATCGATGCAATCGCCTATAAATCGCAAGTGTAGCGATGCAGTCGCGCGTTTGCAACGATGCAATCGCCTATAAATAGCAAGTGTAGCGATGCAATCGCGCGTTTGTACTGACGCAGTCGCGCGTTTGCATCGATGCAATCGCCTATAAATCGCAAGTGAAGCGATGCAATCGTGCGTTTGAACCGATGCAATCGCCTATAAATCGCAAGTTTAGCGATGCAATCGCGCGTTTGTATTGATGCAATCGCGCGTTTGCATCGCTGCAATCGCCTATAAATCACAAGTGTAGCGATGCAATCGCGCGTTTCACGAACGCGCGTTTGCATCGCTGTTAAAGTCGCCGTGTGTAAACCACTCTAGTGTCGTGGCCTGTATATTTAAATGAAGTTATCCACACGCAAAATAGGCGCCTTGTCGTCGAGTTGCGGACACCAGCCCGTTACACCAAGTACCAAGTACCAAGTTATTCACATATAGGACAACACGATTATCTGTCGTTCACGACTTTTTTGACGGTACGACGACAGACTGTCGTGACAATGGGAAGAACTACAACGACAGCCGTCAGACGATAAATAAAACGTCACGATTAAAATGTGACGACAGATAATCGCAGCTTCAAACGATTCTGTCGTGCAAATGACAAGGCGGCTGTCGTGAACAGATAAATTGTCGTCACGATTTACTGAAAATTTCAATTAACGTCCACGACACAACCACGGCAGATAGTCGTGATATGGGAACAGGCTAGACGCGACAGACATGAAAACTTGAGAATATGTTTGTTACTTTTATTTATTGTAGGCGTAGAGTGATGGTACCACGGAAGAAAGATATGTGGTCTGTGGATGGTACCAATGAATGGTACAGAATATTTTTGGGATATACGGAGACGTACACACAGTTCAGTTGTTGGCGCTGTACTATTTCAGCTTTTTAATTTGTGATTTCAGTGCAAACGAGAGTTGATATTTAAAAGTGATATGCCCATTTGCCTGATGAGTTGCCAGACACGGATGGCCCTTATTTCATCTCTATTTCTGGTTATGTACTCGATGCATTTTTATCACCGTGACTATCGTTCCAGTTACAAAAAAATCACCGTGACTTTGTCATGATTTGTTGCGATACTGTAGCGCGTCCGGAATGTTTGCGGACGCGAGTGTAGACGGTTTTGGTGCGACATTGCGCAAGCGCTGCGACGCATCGATGCGTAGGGTATGCGCTAGCCGTCACAGACTCCTGAATGGAGTAGCTGATAGGTGGGACAGCGGTCTATTTAGACACTGGTCCTCCCTTCATTTAAGTTTTCGTACTAACATAGTTATATAAGTTTGTTTGTAATACTAACATTCTATGGATCCACTGTTGTCCGAATTAAATGCATTTTATTTTATTTTATTTTTATTTTATTTATTTGTCACACCTGTCACTTACGTCACTCCAAGCAGTGACAACTCTGTGCAAAACGCAGAGATGCAAACGAGAAGCACGCTTGGACGTCTTAACTTGTTACCTTACTACCAGTTACAGATCTAAAAAGTGTAAGATAGTGTAACAAAAATTTAAAAGTTTATACAAGCTCAAATGGCTTTGGTTGATTGCGCATAACAGTGAGTGTTAGGTGTTAAATCAATCACTATGGAAAAAAAATATATACTGATTACTTACTATACGGTATGAAAACACGAGTTCTAAAAAATTTTTTTTTCTCTAAAACTTCACCTCGAAATTTTAAAAGGAAACCTATGTATTCAATAGATACTTTACATATATCAATTATTTTTTTTATATCAACTGAACTAAATAGAACACGCATGCTATACGATATACGTGTTTCAAATGGTTGTAAATTCGTTTGTAGAAAAAAAAAATCTGAAATAATGACAGTGTCCCTGCCACTCGACTTGAACAAAATGAACCGGATTAGTAAGGGAAAAATTTGAATTCGAGGAAAGGTAATTAGGTCTAATCACTACATATATTTTGGTTTGTACGTCCAGAAAGAGGGACGTCGTTAAGTAATAGATGGCGCTGGCATTTCTTTTGTTTCGCCATACAATCTTTACATAAATTTTTAGAACCCGAAATATATTTCATAAAGGCAGTGTGTCAACTTCAAAACATGTTTATATAACAATATGAGCCTAGAAACCCAGAAGAAAGCATGAATTTGGAGATAATAGGGAAAAATACATCCCGCGTTATCCACCAGGGTTCTCATGAGCTAATGATTCTATCCTCATTATGTATAAGGTACTCTTTGGGCAGTATCGACTGTCAAAAGTTTATTGTTGGTAAATTTCTTATGATTATTTAATATATTATGTTTCTTAATGCTTTAATAGCAGTAATGCTCCTTGTGAAAGAGTTCGTCCAGGGTAGTACTGCCACTTTTCCTATTTCTGCCACCAAGCAGTAATGTGAGCATTACTCGTTCCGGTTTGAAAAGGTTAGGTTGAAAATGAATATTAATATAATAACGTTCCGCAATAGGGAAACACTGTGTCGCGGGTGCCATGGACACACACATAGACAACATACATATTATATACACAGACGACAAATTACACTCAAACTCACGAGAGAAATAAATGTAGGCCATATAAATATTTCTCCCGGCCCGGGAATCCAACCCGGGACCTTTGCGTGGCAGTCCGGCATGGTCACCGTTCGGCCATGGAGGCAGTTACTGAATTGATATTCAATTATTTTGTTATGTGAAATTACTCCACTAGTTTGTTACAATTATTAATACAAAAATCGAACACATAGAAAAAATTCCTTCGATCCGTTTGTATTCGAACCGACGTCTTCTAGCATACCGTGCCTGGATCTATATATTTCGCCTCACGAATTTTTCTGTGTTTGTTGTCGTGTCTTTAGCTTTATCAATGACTTTTAGCCGTAGCGCCATCTGAGAAATTTTAAGTATTTCGTCACCCAGTTAGATACCTTTACAGCTACCAGCCCTGGCTAGAGATGTCGCTATTCATGGTATTTAAATTTTTATTGAATTGATATGGAATTATTTTATTATTAATTTATTAAAATTTAAACTACGGTAAATTTAGTACGGTAGTTTGTAGCTACGGCTAAAAAGTCGTTGAAAAACCAAATACAAAGATACGACCCAAGCGTATAGAAAAATTCGTTCAGCTCGTCCGCTGGTTCAGCGTCTGGCACGGTATGCTAGAAGACGTCAGTCGAAGGATTTTTTCTGAGTGTTCGATCTTTGCATTAATAATTATAAAAAAACTAGTGGAGTAATTTTACACAATAATAATTGAATATCAATTCAATAAAAATTTAAATTTATTATGTTTTGTAAAAAGTCATGGAACAATAGTTGTTAATGATGTTAGTAATATAGTCCTACAATCCTTCAGTCTTTCACAAATAATCTTGTATAGTATAAATATGGGACAAACTAGTAGACGAGTCACTTAATAGAAGTCGGTTATCGTTGCCCGTGGCTTTCTGGCTAAATGCCAGCTGTTATTTTCCAGATTCAATGCCGTCGAAAGAACTTTTACTACGAGGACTGTGCAATTCATGAAAGATAATTATTTGCCTAAATCGCTGATTCTCAGAGTGGTCTATATTGGCCACCTGAGGTTCACTCCAACTTACAAAGGGTCCATATTCGAAGCAATACTTTCTCAAACTCGTATCTTATAAAGAATGATTATTCAGGAGACAGCAAAACTTTCTATTTATTCTAAATCTCTTATCAAGGGTGTTAATTTAGATGTATTAATTTAAGAATAGGTAAACGCCAGTGTGAATATGAAGAAAATGTGATGTGAAATTAGCCTGCAAAATTTGTACATACGATGCATTGACTTACAAATAAATGGACGACGGGTCTAATACAAAAACCACGAAAAAAATGTCCCAAGTCAACCTATTTAAACATAGTGACATGTAAAGGAATATGAAAAGGCTAAAACGTTGAATTTAAATTGTAATGTCATCGCAGTACTGTCTAATTTTGCTTGCTTCGCTGTCAGTCGAACAAACGAAGACTAAAGCGTGAATGACGCTCTGTATACGATTTTAACGCACTATAAGTTCGGACACTTTTTAGCCCGGACCCGACGTCCATATAATTGTAAGTCAATAATACGATGCATTTTTTGCATTACACTTACTTTGTGCTTTAAGATACGAATTTGATGTGTAATTTTCAGTATATTAATTTTCAGGTTTGTTTACCTAATTTCGGTGGAATTTTTCGTGTAATATTATTTAATATTACACGTCTTATTTTAACGTTGAACGCTCCCACACATTTAATATGACATTCGTAGAGAGGATTTAGTTTTCCTACTACTTAATAACCTGTTAAAGTAAGGAAATTAAAGCCTCTCTTTCTTCTTCTTCTTCTCTTATTGTTACCTAGTAATAAGTTAATGAAACTATCTTTTTATTTAAAAAATACAAAGTGAATTTTTTTATAGTATCAAGTCACGACACGCTTGTCCATAACAGTTGCCGTGTCACTCAGAGCTTTAAATCGCAAAGGTCTGAGGGGCACTGCCACTGCGCCCGTCACCCTGAGACAAGTTGACAAGTCCATGTGCCTGCAATTTCACCAGCACCCTTACCCTTTTAAACCGGAACACAGTAATGCTGACATTACAGCTTGGCGGCAGAAATGGGTAAGGTGGCAGTACTTCCCAGGACGAACTCTTTTACAAGAAAAGCACTACTGCTACTAATTATTTTCAAATAATTATAAAATGTTGTATTCAAAGCAGTTGTTCGTGAATGTCATTTTCGTGGAGAAAAAGTTCTTTACAAGCATTGACTTACAATTATATGGACGTCGGGTCCGCGCTAAAAAGTGTCCCAACTTATAGGGCGTTAAAATCGTATACAGAGCGTCATTCACGCTTTAGTCTTCGTTTGTTCGACTGACAGCGAAGCAAGCAAAACTAGACAGTACTGCGACGACATTACAATTTATATTCAACGTTTTAGCTTTTTCATATTCCTTTACATGTCACTACGTTTAAATAGGCTGACTTGGGACATTTTTTTCGTGGTTTTTGTATTAGACCCATCGTCCATTTATTTGTAAGTCAATGTTTACAAGTGAGTTATTTTATTTGAAGTGACGATATGACAAGCGAGTTTTCGAAATATACAAAAGAATACAATTTTGATTACAGAATCGAGGTACACTCTGGTGAGCATTTCAACAATATTAGATATATTGAAACGTTAAACGTTAAAATTTTGGATATTTCTTAAAAAGTTATTGATCTTGTTTTACTCATCAGATAGTGTATTTTCGATCTCAGTCCATATTTACGGAATAATAGCTGGAATAAATATTTTGGAAAAGTTTCTGAATTGATGTTGTTCACATCAGTACAGAGTAATAAAAAACTTGCTAAATATACCCAAATCTGCCAGACTGCTACATTTAATACAAGTTAACATGTTCTGCCACGATGAAAATGAATAAATATTAAATCTGCCCAAATGGCAGAACTCTGCCACAAATGGTCACACTGTCTCAATCTCAATATGACATTGACATTGGCAAGAGGCCTCTTGTCAAAACGCTTCTTTGCTAAAAATATTTATTGCCTAAACATCTGTCACATTGTAACAAAAAATAAAACATTTTTTACTTATATCATTACTGTTTTATTGATTATTTGATTATGTATTTTATAGCTTGTTTTGTTTTATGGGTTTACTATAAAATAACCAATACTTTAGGTAGGTAAACATTCAACCGAATCTGTGGTCGAACTAAATCAATTGCGTTATGTTCTTGCATTATTCTAAAACACATCAGTTTAAAGGTTTTTGATATCTCTTATATGTACGGAATAAACGCTTGGGCACATTTTGATTACACCCTGTATAAAAAGAATTGTCTATATTTAAAAAAATTATATTTACCTGTGTTTGAGATAATCTTCAACTCGGTTCTGTCCAAAGACATGAGCCCCAAATTAAGGCCAGAAAACAACGCACTGAATATCAAACAGATCAATATTAAAGTCAGAGTCGCCCATAGAGGCAGTAACGTGTTATGTGTTGCTAATATTTTGAAGTTCTCCTGCCCTTGGTGGATGTATTTTTCTTCGTCTTTCACCAGGTTTGTCTTTATGTTTTTTGCGCATATGTAGAGCTTTGAACCCTGGATTGGGGATGGGGCGGTTATTTCTACCAGGGCTGAACGAGGTGTTAGGGAATCTTTTATTACCTGCAAGTAAATATAGTGTTCTTAGTAGTGTTGCAAATAATTGTATATTCGGCATAATATATTAAATTACATAATAAATAGGTAGTTTTAATTTGATCCGCAACCTTCTTGTATTTCTACAAAAAATAACTCATTTATGAACAATTTCTCGGATCTTTTAAATAAATAAGTGAAAAATTGGGCTTTCGCGAATTAACTGTGTTTTTTCTTCTATTCCTGCTATTTTTAAGAGGGAGCAGAGGAAAAATTCCTAATCTTCGATTTGGTTTTAGAGGGGTATATCCACTTTAAAGTTAAAAATAAAATATTGTATGAGTAACTACACGATATATTCAAGCATAGACATTAATCAGAAACATAAAACAATAAAGTTTCCTCGATAGATAAAAATCACGAAATGACCTCTAATTTTCACATTTTTTCGATTCATCCTCGAAATGCTACAGGTTATTAGGGCAAAAATTAGATAATTAATTATATTTATGCATGATCGAGAACTTTCATTACGGATTTTTTAAAATCCCTTTAGTTTTAGAGTTATTCCGCTAAAACGAATTTAAATTTAATTAAAAAAATTTAATGCGCAAAATTCAACATCTCCTGTCGCATGTCACGCGAACTTCAGGCATATATTTGTTTCACAAATTTGGGCAGAGCCAACGTCAAAACTTTTTTGGCATGCATCTTAAGTATTAAGTATTCGATCGAATAGCAAAAAAAGGCCGAATAAGTAACCGAATATTGCAACTCTATTGTAGAGTAAAATTATGTCTAATGCCAGTACGCCTGATGTAACAACAGTTACTGATTTGTCCCATCAGTAAGTAACCCTAGGTTACAAAGTAAACTTAAATTTCGTATCATTAAAATACTTTTATCCACTACACATATCATAAACCCTCTATGATGTGTTCAAAAACCGCAAATTACAACCAGCATAGAGGTAAGCTGTTTTCTCAGAACAAATTTCTTAGTGAAAATGTTATTATTGCTTCATGATAACATTGAATTCGATTTTATTATTACATTCAAATTTCGAACATCTCTGAAAAACAAGACAATTGGATTCGACCTCAATTTTAATACCAGTCGAGATGAAGTTTTATTCGAAATGAAATGTCAATAGCAAACAATTTTGACATTTCACACATTACTTGCTTGATATCGAACGATATGATAGTTAGGGCCGACTCTATTCTGTCTATGAACTAAATAAAAACTACGGTTGTGTGACATGCGTGAGAAAAGTTTTTATTTGCCGCCATTTAACAATTGTAACATGCGGTTCCTGAACACATCACAGAGAGCTTATATATAGAGATAGCGTATAGATAAAGCAGTGTATGTAACTGTATATAATTAGGCATTAAAACACTCGTGTGATGTTTTAATGAAATCGCCTGTCGGCTCGTTTTATAAATCCACACTCGCATTTTAATGCCTTACATTATGTACCAGTCACATAAACTACTATACTACATATTATACGGAAACTATTGGACGGAAACTATAATATTATACAGGACGTCTCACGGCTATACAACACGGAGGGAAAGTACCTTAAATACTGTAGCTAGAAAATTATACTGAAAGAAGACTGCATTTTGATTTTAAAAACAATTCGAGCAGTCGAGAGCAGGAATCGAACCCGCCAAGTGTGAAAAAAATCATACTTATAATTATACTTTTATTAAACTGATCGGAAGCCTCAACGATAAGGAATGTTTTCTTCTAAATAACATAGCATCTTAAATAGAAAGAAGACCAGTCAACTAATAAACTGTATTAGCAGGAAAAAAAACGCGGGTTTTTTTTTTCAGGATGTTACTAGTGTTCCGTTAAATGTAACGGCGTTTGTATAATATGCATAGATACGTACCATGTACTCTCCCTTGTTTATAAATTTGCAAGGATCGCCATAATCTCCAACTTCGTGTGTAAACGCAATTGCGGTATTTTCCGTCAGCCCGTCGCCGAAAAGCCTGCAAATCATTAAATAAGGAATATTCTAAAAAAAAATGCTGCTGATGCGCGGGCGTAATTACCCTCTAACGTGACAAGTTTACGGTTATGTCTTTTCCATCGAACCTTGTACAACAGTTTTTGGCACAATCTCAGTACAGAGTACTAAAAAAAACCGTCCTCAAAAGTACGTGGAATTACATATAAATTCATCACCTAGTTCTCCACTATACGGCACTTGACACAGGAGATAATAAAAATCGGTTCTCACTAAAAGTATATTGAGAGAAAAACGCCTTGAATTGGAGGATAGCAAAATCAACCATTAAAATAATTGCTCCTTATAGTAAAATTTAGGCGCTACTTATAAAAATTAATCTTCATGCGTGAACAACCACCCTTAGAGGTGGATGATTTTCTTCACAATTAATTAAATAAAAAACTTGAGAACCTCCTCCTTTTTTTGAAGTCGGTTAAAAACATAAGACTATTCAACTTCACGAACCCGTACAGTCCCGTTTCGATGTAGCCCCGTGCAATGTTTGGCTGTTCCTAAGATTGAAAATTTCGCTCAAAGGGCGTCGCATCGGTTTAATGACACAGAGATAATTTAAAAAATGCTAAGAATGCACTGAAGGCTATTCGGAAAACTAACTTCCAAAACTGCTTCGGGTTGTGGAAGCGGAAGTTTTACTAGCAGTCGAGCTCATTGTCAAAGAGTTTGTCCAGGGAAGTATTGCCACCTTACCTATTTCTGCCACCAAGCGGTAATGTCTGTCGTCCGCTAACTAAAAAGCGGCTATGTGACGAAATATTTTTTTGAGATATCATAAAAACCCATAACCCAGTTTTAGAATATTTAAATTGTATAATGCTATTTCAGCTATGCATCGTTAGGATAAGTCCCGATAAATCGAACATGTTAACTAATTTTAACTATTTATAAAAGAAAATTTTGTGCTCTATTTTTTACTATTTAAAACGGATATTTGACCATTTGTCACGTTTTCGTTAGTGTACGGCAGATGTGAGCATTATTGTGTTTCGGTTTTTAAGGGTGCTGGTGAAATTACAGGCACATGGGACTTGTCAACTTATGTCTCAGGGTGACAGGTGTTATAGACAGGAATGTCGCTTAAGAGGGAGCAGAGGAAAAGTGCCTAATCTTCGATTTGATTTTAGAGGGGTATATCCACTTTAAAGTTAAAAATAAAATATTGTATGGGTAACTACACGATTCATTCAAGCGTAGACATTAATCAGAAACATAAAACAATAAAGTTTCCTCGATAGATAAAAATCACGAAATGACCTCTAATTTTCACATTTTTTCGATTTATCCTCGAAATGCTACAGGTTATTAGGACAAAAATTAGATAATTAATTATATTTATGCATGATCGACAATTGTCACTACGGATTTTTTTTTAATCCCTTTAGTTTTAGAGTTATTCCGCTAAAACGAATTTGGTACTTTTAATGCGCAAAATTCAACATTTCCTGTCGCATGTCACGCGAACTTCAGGCATATATTTGTTTCACAAATTTGGGCGGAGCCAACGTCAAAACTTTTTTGGCTTGCTCCCTCTTATCTATTGCAAGTATTATTCGTCTTGTCACTTATTATCATAAAAAAAACCTTTGAAGGATACCACGAGTCGAATTATGAAAACGTTGAAACACGTTACGTTTTGGTTTCCACTCTGACCAGGGACGCGAAACACTACACAACGCTTCTTCGTTTCTATTACAAGTTAATGCGATTACGAGTCCAACAAGAAAGGTGGATTCCCAAATCGACATTAACAAAATTTTGATTTCGCATATTCTGATTTAACACTCACCTGAGCGTCACTGCCGTATCAGCTAGAACACTTGGTATACTTTCGTCTATGATCTTTGGTTCCTTTGCAGAGTCCTCCACTCGTATGCCTTCGATCCTGACCTTTGGCAACACAGCTGAATAGAACATAATAATTATTTTTATGAAAAAAAAACCGACTTTAAAACTGCTTGTCCCCTTTCGTCGCTACCGATAATTGAATTAATGAGATTTGCAGATTCTATAGACGAAATTGAGAACTTTTAATAAAAACGGTTTTTACTTTTTATGCTTAAAAAGTTATAAAAGGATGATGACCATTACTGCACGCATCTTACTTAGCATGTCCAGTAAATTCATATTTTTAATTATCATACATTAATTAAAACTACATTTTTTATAAGTCTCAAATCCATTAGAGCAGCAGTTAATTTTGAATAAAAGAAATATTTGTAATTCTAGTGCATTTCCTGGTCAGTACTTATGGCCACTAAGGCTCAACTCACACTAGCGTAGAGACGAAGCGTCGCGTCGCATCCTGATTTGCAACTACAACGCCTGGCGACGCGCGTCGACGTCTGACACCTCACTGCGCCCAAGTAACGCGCGAAACCGCTCGACTTCAACCAAGCGTTGATGAGCGTGTCCATATTTACATAACACAAATTTGTACCCTAATAATGGGAAATTAGAGATGAATAACCTATAGACGAAAAACATGACGCGTCGCGTCGCTTCCACTCTGCGCCAGTGTGAGTTGAGCCTTAAGGTGACATAATGCAGTATATTATATAGATTTTAAGACTTTCGTGGTTATTCACTAAATGATTATCACTAATATCAGGTTTCTTACCACGGTATGACTTCTTTTTATTTTCCCGATATTTCGGAACGGTTGCACGCTCCATGGTCACGTCCAGTCAACCCGTGAAGAAGACCCTTATTATAGATATTAGTGATAATCATTTAGAATGCAGTATATTACATTTAGGTCGAGATTCATAAAACGAATTTGGCTGAAATTCAGAGACGTTCCTATGAGCCGTACCAAGATCAGTCTTAGCCGTGTACATGATTAGCATTGTCTCGACTTTTGAAATGAAAACGTGCGTTTGTCTCAAACGTTGTTTGGCAGAAATATTATTGTTATAGGTCCCGGTGAAAGAGTTGCTGGAGATGACGACTGTTTCGCCTGGAAACCAAAAAAATTGAGAAGGATTTCCCCAGACCGCATTGAAGATTACTTCCCAGAAGCTATCGATAAGGTCGCAGTATCTTCAATGCCAGAAGATCACAGCTATGGCAGTCACTACCTCAATCATCACAAGTTGTGCAAAAAAATTGAGTTTACGCTAAGATGCTATTTTGACATTTGGGAGTACGTTCTCAAACTCAAATATCGTCTCTGAGTTTCAGCCTTAGTTTTCGACAAAGCAAAATGGGTTAAGCAAATACAAAATTAACTTCGCCGAAGTTTACTTCGTTTGTAAATACGAAAAACTTGTTTAGCTCACCGATTTTGCTTAGTCGAAGTCAAAAGCGGTTTTTTAAATCTCAGCCTTAACGTCTTCAGTGTTGCCAGATATGTGATTTGCAATGTACCTTATTTTTAAGGAAAAATTTCAGAGATATCACAATTAGCCGGAAGAGCTTCCCTACGAAGTGCAGCCGGTTATTTTTACCTAATATACTTATACATGGAATGTAATTCTATAAGTTTGTTCGATTTTAAACGTAAGGGGTTGTAAAGTAGTTTTTTCTATTAAATTTAAAAATAATCCGCTGTTTTGAATGAAAATCGAGGAATAGATTCAGAATGTAGGTCTTATATGGTTTAAAAAGCGCCTTATGTAATGCACATGCCAGTTTAAAGTTAGGGCATGCCTCCATATTGCACCGGCTATCGTTCTTTGAAATGTGCATTATTTGTTTCAAGTAGTTCTCTCATCTTTATGACTTTCACGTTGAAAAATCACTTTCAACTTATGACCACAAGTGCCTTTATTAAATCAACGGTGCACTATCTATTATTACTAGTAATCAGTAATCAGTAATCGTTTATTGCATAGTCACATGTTAATAATATTAAAATTACAGTACATGTGACACCCTGTAAGGGTGTTTGCAAAGAGAGTGGCGCTATACACATTTTAAAAATAAGATAAAAATTATTACACAGTACTATTTTACTAATTGATACCACGCATACAAAATGGTGTCTAGTAGGACTATATAATTTACACATTCTGTTTCAACTCTATACTAATTGATATAATTTTAAAACTAAATACTAATTGAAATAATTTTACCTACATACATTTATACACAGAAACATACAATTAGAATTTTCTAATATTATTTCATATTAAATCATTTAAAAAAAGGTCATCAAAAATATCATTAAAGTATTCTGTTATATTGTAATAACTCCTATCAATTAAGAGAGTTTTTAATTGTCTTTCAAAAGCCTTGGAATCTTGAGTACATTTTATGCTGTTCGGAAGATGGTTATATATTTTTATTAACATTGAGTGGGGACCCGATGAACACAATTTCATTTTTGAACTACTATTTTCAATATTCTTTTTTTGTTTTAATGCAAAGTAAATAAGGTAAATTTTTATTCCTATTTTACTTTGTTTGATTATAACAATTATACATTGAACAAAATATAATAACATACCTGTAACACTTGTAAAATCCCCTTGCAGCGTCGCTTGTCGTTGGTTTCTTATTTTTATCAATGAATCTTCTCCATGTTCCTCATTTTGAATCGGTTTTATCCCGTTCGCCAAATGCAACTTGGCCATAATTATATCTTCCTTGGATATCAAATCATCATTACTTCTATTTATTACCAATGATTTTTCATTATTATTGTTTTCATTCAATTCCGTATTACGTTTGTTTTTGTGACCATTTCTCATTTCATCGTTATTGTTCCATTCAATTTTCATTACCGATTCTTCATTATTTATATTTCTGTACGCATTATTATCTGCACTACGTTTTATTCTTTTTAACCTATTTGTCATTAAATCATTATTGTAATTTTCTAAATTATTATATTCTAATTGATCTTCATATTTATTATTTAAAGAATTCCTGTAGTATGCCACACGTTTTCTTTCATTTTCTACAATTTTACTACTTTTTAAATCAGTATCTAAATATTCTCTATTACTATCTTGAACAGGAACTTCTCGTATATCATAAAATTTACCGCTGGTTTTTGCAAATTTTCTACCATACTTTTCGTGGTTTTCTATACGTTTTCTTCCGCTTCTACGAGAGCCTTGTAGAATTTTATTAAATTCTTCTTCATCTGTGTAAAAACATTGGATTGTTTTGTAACATTTTTTTTTGAGTATCAAGTGACGTGGCGAACAAGTCGTGAACTTGGTGGTAAGCGACTCGAGAGGCGGCGCGGGTCACGACTTCTAAACACGCTTAGTTTGCCGGTTCGAGCGCTAAGGGTTGACGTGTGCGTGTTATAAAATATAATTCAATACGTTCAGCAAATTCTACGGAAATAGTTGTATGTACACACGCCAGCACATCAAGCTACACAATGACGTATCTTGTTCCGTTGCACTGGAGGCGATTTTCGAACAAAAATGTATAGTCTGATGTACCGTTGTCCGTACATACATAATGTAATAGCGCACATAAACCGATTTATTGAATAATGTAGTGAGCTAGAAGCCCATTTTATGCAGAGTTTCCGTTGGTTTGTTGTAAACAATATTTTAGACAAATTATTAGATTTTTTTTTAACATCAAGTGACGGGACGAACAACTCGTGCGCGCGTAAGTAAGCGAAACGCCTGTCCATAACAGCTACAGTGCCACTCACAGCTTCAAATTGCAAAGATCTAAGGGGCGTTGCCACTGCGTCCGTCATCCTGAGACGTAAGTTGACAAGTCCCATGTGTCTGGAACTTCAGTACTTCCCTGGACAAACTCTTTCATAAGCACAGAACTGTAGTGTGACTAATGATGATATGTTATCCGAGAAATTAATGTTTAAAGAAATTAAATCATAAGAATATCTATACTTTTCTTGCGATAAGGAGGAAATAAGGAGAAAATAAAAATAGTGACAGGGGGTCTATTCTTGTTCTCCATTCGACATCCGACCGAAGCAATTACCGTGAAATAAGTTTACTCGATAAAATTAAAAGACGCATGATGCGAATGAAGCTTTGTACTTAACATTGTCCTTTGATTTAGTCGAGTACGAATTATTTGTCAGTAATTGTCAGGGGCGAACGTCCGGCGGAGAACGGGCACACCCCCTGATCACGGCAGTATACATAACAAATTTGTAAAAAAAAACCGACCTCAAAAGTACGTGGAATTATGTCTATTTGCCAAGTTTTATTGAAATATCCCCTAGTTCGCCACTACACGGGACTTCACACAGGAGATAATAAAAATCACTACTAAAAATATATTGAGAGAAAAATGCCTTGAATTGGAGAATAGCAAAACCAACCGTTAAAATAATTGCTCCTTATAGTAAAATTTAGGCGCTATTTATAAAAATGAATCTTCACGCGTGAACAGCTACCATTAGAGGTGGATGATTTTCTTCAAAATTAAATGGGTGGTCCCAGTCCCATCCCTCAGGGGCTGTTGCTGTCACTCTTCGGCCGAGTGTCGAGCACTCAACAGCCCCTGAGAATGCCTCGTGGAGAGGCGAAACACGTGTCGGGTATATTTTTGGTGATGGTTTGTGACTGCAGTTGCGCTTGTGTTATTTATTTTATTAATGTTATGCGGAGGGAGGGTGGGATAATTAAGTGCATGAAAAAAATATTCAGCACAAGCGCAGCTATTTTGCATGATTTAACCTTCACTGGGTTCGCGGAGTAGCAAATTAATTTATTTCCATTTTTATTATATTTTAAAAACAACAGCTGAACTGCTTATTCCAGCGTAAATTTTAGATTATGAGGTCGATTCCGAACCTTATGATAACTCAGTTGTTTGATCAATTTCTTTTAATTTTTATTCCAATCACCCGAATCGAACGTCAAACTGTCGCTCCATAACTCGCTGAGTGATTTTTAACTGGTGGAGTAGCCGTATTTCTCCACATCTCGTCTCCGTACGTCATAACGGGTAGAACGCAAATGACGCATCTTTATTTTCAAACTTCGCGGTATGAGTATATGACGGAGCCAAAATGGGGAAGCGAACGCAGTGACTGACCTTGGGTTGCTTGTTACGATTTCTTTGCATTTTTGGTCACAACACCCGAATCGAACGTCAAACTGTCGTATTGGAAACCGAACCGAAATGACGTCACACCCGTACGATTACTCGAACTTCTCGACCGGCAAAGGCTACAAACGTTATTCAGAACACAGTTATCGAATGAAAGTTACCGAACGTCCTATTGTTTACAAAGCAATAATGTAATATGGAAATCTCTTATTATTTTAAATAAAGTCTGGATTTTGTTCGATTTTATTAATTTATTTTGATGCGACTAATGCGTTCCTATATTTAAGGCCTTTCAAGTCATAAAAATGTATATAAATGGATTTTCATTATTCTTATAATCTATTTCACCGACTAACTCCGTAAATCCTGTTGGATAACGATACCGTATCCGAATCGAACGTTTAATTAAAATGTTCTGAATAGCTCGGAAGAGCCCAGGTATTGAAACTGGTCCACGGTCTCGTATTCCTGCAGGAGGTTAGTACGTTGAATAGTCGCGAAACGGTCTATCACCATGAGCTTAGTCTTAGATTTATTTAAAGCAAGACCCATTTCTCGACTATTTGTTTCCAACCGATCCATCAGCTCCGACATTTTAACTTCCGATGATGCAAAAAGGGTGGTGTCATCTGCGTATCGGAGGTTAGTCACTTTGACCCCATTTATCTTGATGCCACCGTCCCAATTTTCGAGCGCTTGGCGCATTATGTACTCGCCATAAATGTTAAACAACCCCTTGATTCGAGAATGACATCCAATCGAACGATACGGTTAAAATATCGAAGAGTTCTGAATCGGGGACCCTATTTAGACTCGAACATCCGCAAAAAACATCATCGATGAATGCGGACGCTGATGCGATTTTTTAAATTTATGTATAGATGCTGATATTCGCAACAATCCCGCTCTGGAGTATCTATAAATGTTTAGTTCCACATAATCCTTGTCTTAGCCCTCAGTCCGTGATAACCCATTCTACACGGTAAAAAAAGATTACTTAGAAAAAGACAAAATTCTTTTTATGAAGACAAATTTATTAAATCCAACAAAACGATCTTCTCCCTATAGACGCTAGAGAATAATTACTTGATAATAGTAAAAAAACGTCTCAAAAGTGTATTTTCGTTACAAGACAGAAATATTTAATCCAAGAGCAAATTAATTTACTTCAAGTCACAAAGCCACTCTAGATTCAACAAAATATTTATTTGTTATTAGAAATGTCCGATTTCGATTTGAAAAAAAAAAAAAATGAAAAATTGAGAGATACTTAATTATTTGACTGAAGATTTGTGTTTTCTAATTTCAAAGAGGGTAAATTTACAGGGTTATGGACCCAACAGTATGTCTCACTAGCGTGAAAGCACACAAGTTCAGTGTCAAACCTTAAAGTAGCAGAAATAGGACGGAATCTTCTCAAATACTTGAGGACCATTCAGTGCCGTATAAATGCTACATCGGCAGAAATCACTAATAATTCTAAATATATGAGATGACTTTATACTATTGAAGTTAACAAAACGATAGCGCGTTTCAGAGTACAACTAATGCCATCTAGCAGTGGCGTCATGGAACTAATTTCACGTTAAAGTTGTGCTTTTTACAAGTGTAGTTTGATTTCTTATCATATTAGTCATCCACCAAATTTCTTAAATTATGACTATAAATAACACCCTAACAAACTAGAGATACTACGTATTGTTTCTTTGGATAAATGACTGTTTATGATTTTTATAATTACAAGCACAAGTAAAAGTAATCTTTACCGCGTGCGCCTTCGGCGACATGTCACGGCGAGATTGACTATGAAAACGCAACGAAATATTGCTTTAAGAATATACTCTAGAATTTAGAATATTAATCTTAATAGAAAACTTCTTCTTTTTTTGTTTAAGAATATATTTTCTTAAAATACATCCAAGAAATTTTGAATTCATTTAAGATTATTTAAATTTGATGTAAGAGGTAAAAATTTTTTGATGTTAGTAATGTCCAATGAATTGATTAGATATGAAATAAAATTTTGAAGGGAACGTATTTGTCTCAAAGTTAGAATAAAGTTAAGAGTAAAATTGTATTAGAAAAAGATAAGCAGTATTTTTGTGATGACAATATTTTATTACTTTTAATAAATATTTTTTCAGAATTAGCAAATATTGTGAGAAATTGCTCTTTCTTATTAGTAGAAATCCTTTTTTTCTGTGTAATGTTCGTGAGAAAGCTAAATAATTTTATCGTCGAAACGGTAATTTATCTTCACGTCCGGCGTGACGTAAACGCACGAACGGGCAGTGGTATATAATATAGTCTTTCAATTTTCTTTATTTTCACAAGATCACACTATTTTTTCCAATTTTGTGGGTCATTGGAAATCAGATTTATTTATGCGATGTCTCTCTCCTTGATTCAATTCTATGTTTTGCGATACGAACTGTGTAAATATCAAAGCGTCCAGATTGATATCTTTTTGTTTGTAACATTCCAACCACATAAAAATAATTTTCACATCACTAGCTCGGAAAGGCTTTTTTTCTCATTAGAAATCTGCGCAACAAAGTTTTTGGAATTCGAACTTAAC